TCCAGGATGAAGGTTAGAACACGGCTCTCATCTTGAGTGGCCTCATTGCTCAGCATCTGAAAGGTCCCTGCCTTCCTAACTTCCTAGTGGATACTTAAAATAATCTCCCACAATCTGAAGTAATGTGAGTAACTCTCTTTCTGTTAAAAAAAAAGAACTCTAATAAAGACAGCCAACCTACAGGACCATAGGACCCTCCTTCCGTTTTCAATGTCATATCCTGCTGAAAGGCTAAGCTCAAAGTCCAACTCTTCTCTGAGCATTTTCTATTTAAGCCAATTATCTAGGCAAGGCAGGTGGGCTATCAGATTTCCTGTGGGCTGAATACATAAAGCTTGGGCATGCCTAAGCAGGATAGGACTTCTGCACACAATCTGGTTCACTGGGCTCCCTCGTGGACATTTTCCAGATAGCAATATGAAAGGCTGGAAAACGGGAAGATGTGACTTCTATTCAGGACTGGAGAAGGTGGGCATTGGGGTTATAGACTGGCCTGAGATCAAGAAGAATAGACTACTATCTCTCTTCAAGTTTTCTTAGAGATGGGATATGTTTGAATGGACAACCCTTGTTGGTTGTTTCTGATTGGGAGACTCTAGAGACTCAGCAGMAAAATACAGATAGCTTCAGGGCGAGATTTAAAGAAGGATGTGAGGAAGTTTAAGGAGGAGACAGGGTAAAAGGGAAAGCAACAAGATCATTAGATAGCACAAGGGCTCAAGGGCCTTGGAGACAAATTTTTAAAAAGGGGAGCTGATTAGAGAGAGAATAAAGGAAGAAGAAAGGACAAAGTTCTGCTTGGGTTGACCTAGAAGTGGCCCAGAAATAACTGCTCATTTCATGTAGTTTCACTAAGTGGCCACCTGAGGGCTCTCTGTCTTATGCACCCAGGAATCTTTATATTCTTCTCCCCATTAAAAAAACGATTTATCCTCAATTTGCTGAAGGATAAATTTAGGTTAATATTCTAAAGAAGGGTACCTATGGAAAATGGCAACCCCAAATGATTCTTCCTTTCTATTTTTGTTCTTGAACTAGATTAACAAATAAGCAAGACTGACCTCAATACAAATCCCTGGGTAATCAGAAGATTACATACAATAACCTCATTTAAATGTACTTGGTATTTAGTAAGGACTGGATAAATATTAGCTCCTTCCCATATATAAACACACGCAAACATACAACTTTGCCAAATGTAGGAAGAAACATAAGGAGGAATTAAAGCAACCCTTTATCCCACTAAAGGGGGCAGGACACAAAAGTCCCCAAATGAAATCAGTGCTGTGTTAGGAAGTGACTCTAGAGAGCAAATTTATGTTGCTCCTTTCATTATATGTTGCAGCTTATACATAATAGCCAGGGGAAATAGAACACAAACAGCTGGGAAATAAAGATGAAAGCAAAACTGTATCAGCAGGGAGAGACACACAACCCCCTGAGAATCTGGCAGTGTCAYGAAAGATAATTTGAACAAGGTCACCTGCATGGGATTCCTCTTCTCAGAGAAAGATCATTAGATTCCTGCCCATTTATGACCATCTCCATGGGAATCAAGGTAGGGAACAGAATACATGGCCCCTAGCTTTCAAATTTCTACACTAAAGTTCTATCTATAAAATAAAACAGAGCTACAGACAAAAGCTAGAATTACTGTGAAGGCTAAATGTGGAATTTTTAGATGTCTGAAAACAAAGAAATTTTCCTTCCCAGCACCAATGGAGGTCCCCTACCACCACCAGACAGCGTGGTTTGTGGCCTTATGCTGCCCTCTAGTGTTCTTTTAAGGTATAGTAATGTGAGGAAAAAAAATCTTGAAAAATTCTAAAATCCACCAATAAACCTGACTTCAGTGGTTGACAGGAAAAGCAAAAGTGGAATTCTAACATAAAAGAAAAATAGATTGGGTTGAGGGTGTAACTCAGTGGTAGAGTGTTTGCCTCGCATGCATGAGACCAGTAAAAAATAGAGTGTAAAAAGCAAAGCCAATATTTATATGAAAAAGTAAAAGAGAATTAAATGTGCCCCACACCTTACAACCATGGCATATAGATCAGGGAGAGCTCCCTGAAACTGCAGACAATCATTATTCCTCAAACATCCTCCTTGAATGATAACTACCTCAGTTGGTCTGCAGTGGGATCTAGACATCTGTACTTTGCTAATACCACCACATGATTCTGAAAGTAGTTAAGGATTGGCCTCCCTTTGAGAAGAACCTAAGATGATAACAATGACTTTGACCTAGGTACAGAATAAATCTGATAATTTTAATTCTTTTTTTTTTTTTGAGAGAGAGAGAGAGAGAGAATTTTAATATTTATTTTTTAGTTTTCAGCGGACACAACATCTTTGTTKGTATGTGGTGCTGAGGATCAAACCCRRGCCGCACGTATGCCAGGTGAGYGCACTACCGATTGAGCCACATCCCCAGCCCAATTTTAATTCTTTAACAGTAAGTATACTTTGTAGGGAAAACACATATAAAATAAAACCATTGACCCAAATAAGAAAAATTCCATTTTTTTTTTCCTGCATTTAGAGTGCCTCAATCCTACATGACTAGCACGAGGAAAATAATGCAGCTGGATTCAAGGGTGAAGGGTTCATGTAAAAGTTCCTTTGTCCACATAAGCCCCTCCCACACTCCTGTGAATAGGCAGGTGGGAAGAAGAAAGGATTCCTAGTTGATTTTACTCATGTTTTAGATGTCTCTTGGACATTGCTTCTTCAAGAAGTCTTCCTGGTGCTCCCAGATGAATTACAATGCCCTGATATAGTTTCACAATGTCTAGCCCTTCTCAGTCCTATTTGATCCCTCAACATCAATCTGCTCTGGGACACAGGAGCTCTTCATTACAAGACCCTGTCATTTTCTTCCCAACTCTGCTCTTCACTATTAGCTCAGGGTCAGAGCTCAGTAAGAACTCACCTCTGGCCAGTGCCTGTAGCCACACATACCAAAAGGTGCTTATGGTGGAGATGGACGTCATACCCCAGATCACATTCTTTTCCCACCTGACGTGGGTTCATGACACACACAGCAAGAGGGCTTTTTGGGGGTCATTGCTGCCAATGGATTATGCACACTTACTTTATAAGAACCTCAGCCTGATTTTAGGGACTTGCTGTCATTTTTTGGGTTTGGTCTGATAAGTCTGTAAACACTTAGGAATTTCATAAAGTTTAAGGGGATAACTGTTGGTAAAGAATCTAAATTGTTCATTTGGGAAATTCAACTCCAATTTAAATGTTACTTAAAAAAAAAAAGCCAAGGATTACTAAGCATTCAATATTTGACATCTTCATATTGTATAATATGTTGCTATATACTTCATAGTTTTAGTTACTTTTTATCATGGGAAAATCCTTTCTTATATTCAGAATCAAGAAACATTTTATGTTTTAAGAAAAATCATCTGTGTAGGTTTCTAAGATTTATAATGATAGCCTACAATTACCCATACCAGAAAGAATCCTATCACAGTCTCCTGTTATGCTCACTTTAAAAAATCACCACCKAGTCTTCTGTGCCAAACAGGGTCACCCTCCAAAAAGGACAAAACCCACTTTGTTCCCCCCAGTCAGAGAGAAGAAAGAGAATGAGGTCTGGCTGTTACACAGCATTTTCTTTGAATTTCATGTAATTTTTTGAGCTAAGCTATTAGATTTGTGGGCACCAACAGGATCTCTTTGAAGCTAACAAGAGGCCACTGTGGAAAAAGGGAGATGGCCATTACTACACATTTTAGGTGCTGGGCAAATAAAAAGTAAATGTATTCTGCAATTACAGAAAGTGGAACACTTTTCTTTCATCTTTCCCCTTATTTAGAAAAAGTGTTTTTTCCTCTAGAAAGAGTTCTGTTGCGTTTTCTCTTTCTAGCTGCCTGACTCCATGGTTTGTTTACCCTTTGAATCAAAGGGGAAAATCCCATCAATATAAATGAGCAGCTCCTTTTGAGTAAACTATGCCTGCAATGTTATCTCCAGGGCTCCGAAATGTATCAGGATGGAGCAGAAGGCACAAGAGAAAGAGAGAGAGTGGGCAGAACAAGGTTTGCTGCTTTCTGCCTAGTAGTTCCCCCCCCCCCCCCCCCCCCCCCCCCCCCCCCCCCCCCCCCCCCCCCCCCCGTAGGCAAGTCATTCAAACACATTTCCCACATTCAGAATAACCTGCCAATGATACTTCCCCAATGCTTGTGGTTGTGTTAAATCAGATGGGATGTTTGGATACTATTCTTAGTCAATCACAAAGTTTCATTCAAATAGAAACTTTTGTTATTTCCCATTATTGACACACCTTCTAAGAATTCTTCCTTGCTCACTCAAGAAATCAAGTATTAATAAGAAAGGAAGAGGTCTGTTTGACTTTCTTAACAGCTGGTGAAAGAAGCATTCCTGCCCATATGTGTCACAGTGTGTGTGTGTGTGTGTGTGTGTGTGTGTGTGTGTGTTAAGGAGTTGGGGGAGGAAATAGAATTCCCTGCTGGAGACCTGGGATATTCCAAGCTCAGACTCTTGTTGGTCAGAGAGTCTAAAAGCAACTCCGAAACCTCACCAAGGAAAGAAAAGTAATAAACTCTGGAAGAAACTCTTCGTACCTCTGGTTACCTTGGCTCCATATCTACTGAAAACTGCAGGGACTAAGGAAACTTGTAAATGCAACTTCTCCTTATGATATCAGGATGATGAGTACATTTTTCTCACTCTTTAAATTTTAAACATGCATGCATTTTAGGTGTTGCATTTTTTTTGAGCTGGTATTAAAAATACATATGTTCTTTCACATTAAAGTGAGAACAGAGCCTTGTGTGTTGTATTATTAACTATGTTCTGGAAATGAAATTCTGGTCAGCCTCTGCAGAAGAAGTGTGCACGCGTGTGAGCGCGCACACACACACAAACACAGAGGCATGTATACATCTATAAGCAAGGGATTTTCCACTTGTGTGCTGGCCCTGTGGTGTGATGCTGGTGCCTTTGACTCAGTGGGTACTTACTCTTCAGGTCTAAATTCCTGGCTCCTGCGGTGATCTGGGTTGTGATTTTTGTGTCAATCTTTACAGTGTGGAGATTGCTGGTGTCCCTTGATATCATCACGTTGTGCCACTGATTGTCATTGAGTGGTTTATTAGAACTCCCTTTGATGAGGTTAGCACCATTTCCCAAATCAAACACATAATGTAAGTACCTGAGGAGAAAATGAAAGAGAGGAAAGTGTCATAATGTTTTGATGGAGTCAAGCCACATGTTTGGTGGGGCCGTGGTGGGGGGATTCTTGGGATCAAACTCACAGCCTCTTGCCTGTCAGGTAAGCACTCTACCACTAAGCCACATCCCCAGCCCCAAGTCAGGTATTACAAATGGTGATTTGAGTCTTTTACAGGTGGCTCCACCCTTGCTAGAAGTCCTGAGCATGAGTTTTGTGAGGCTAATCAGAGGGGAAGAAACTACTCCATTTCAGCAGAAGGCAGGATCATTCAATATGCTTTCCACATTCCCAACTCTCTCTCCATTATCTGCTCACCACACTGAATGGTGATTCTCAGTTTCTTACACCCCCCTTTCTAGAATCCCTGTTTTTATATTGGAAATGAAATGTTCTGGAACTTTATATATTTGGCCTATTGTAAATATGCAATAACAGCCACTAAATGGGTGAATGATAAATGTCCACATAAATAAAGTCAATTTTTCATCCTACTTCCAAAGAAATTTTATTTAAAAAATCCTTTCTAAATTATTCAACTCTAACATGAAATTAAATTAAGTGAGATTTAGTAAAATTTAAGTAATCTGAATACTTGAATTAGCAGAGATTGTCCTATAGTCTTGTATAAATTCTTTTGCAGAATATGTTTTGCATAATGAGGAAATACACAGTGAAAGTGTGATTTTTATAGAAGGCCTAATAAATTAGAACTTGATGTTATCTGGACTTCATCTGTGGAGATGTCTATATAAAGGACTGTACTGAATCCATTTTTATTGAATTCCTCATTTATGAGGTCCCTGTTCCTGTTTACCACCTTATATGCCAGCACATTGTTTCACATGTATTTTTTGAACTAGAGGTCCGCTTGTCTGAAGTTTTATTTATTTGTCATTGAACCAACATACACTTACCCTTTAACTAATTCAACTACGATAAAGTCATTTCCATCCCCACTGTTATATAGAATTAACCCATCAAGGGATGTAGTCTTGAACTGGAAGAAAAGATGCATAGAAGTGTAGGCCTGCAGGGTAGCTAAGGCAACGTAGCTCGATTTGGTCTTGAATGTGACAGGGTCTGCTATGATGTTCCTGAAGCCAAATCTGGCATTGAGCTCACAATAATCGATGTCACCATTTTTACACAAGTCAATGTATGCCATTCCATTAAATGTCAGGCTCTGCAGGTGTCCAATGAAGTTGGAGGGGACAGAAGAAAGATACCGACGTTCTGTGATGATGCCAGTCTCTATGTTATGGAACTCCAGCCTTGTATGGTCACCTGCCATTTGACCTAAAGTAAAAGATAGCAAATTATTATCATTTTCTGTATCTGAAAGTTACTTTCAAATGTAGACTTCCATAGCAATATCACATTTTAAAATATAAGAATCCCACATCATCCTTGATAGCTACATATCGTGAGTACGCATAGTTGATGTGCACACAGGTTATGGGCTAAGGCTGGCTTTTGTAACAAAATGTTCTTGGGTCAGGTTTGAATCCTTGTTCAAATTTTAGTCTTTTCAAAAATCATTCTCAATAAAAATGTTACAGAATTTCTGGAAAATGAGAGAAAGAGAGAAAGAAAAAGAGAAAGAGATAGATAGATAGATAGATAGATAGATAGATAGATAGATAGATAGATAGATAGATGAAGGAAGGAAGGAAGGAAGGAAGGAAACAAGAGAGGAGAAGACATGAATAAGAGGAGAGGAAAGAGAAAGCAAAGGTGAAAGGCAAGCAGGGAAAAAGGAATCAAGGATGATGACTGTCCTAAATCATCCCAGTAGAAATTGCTACATCACAGCTTTAAGTGATATTTTTCTTTATATTCTTCCCAGAAAAACATATAATTCTATATGTTCCTATACTAATAGAAAGAGTGAAGAGTTAATGACTCTTTTTCCAATAGTAGACCATAAAAATAGGTTTAAGTTAAATACATTCTTTTCACTCTTCCTTTCCTGTGACAAGTATGCTGACAGTCTTTCTTTGAGGAAGGGTTCTCCCAAACACTTCAGAAATCTTTGAATCTCTGGAACAATGCCATTTTCTCTGGCATCATTTTGTTTTGGATAACCACACTGAGCACAATATACTCATTTAAAGCATAAGCAAATTGAGAATACCATTACGTGTTGTGACATTACTACAAGGTACAATCTTGAAACATCCTCGAAGGAAGCTTGGCTGGGGATTGACTTAGTGATTCACTAGTCAATGCTGCCCCCATCTTTCTTCATTCCCCCAGATTTCCCAAGTTCATCAAAGCCAACTTAGTTCTGGGTACTCTTTACTAGTAGTTCCTTCCTAGCATCCTGTTCTTTTTTATTTTTTTGAGTTATAGTTGGGCACAATACCTTTATTTATTTTTTAATTTTTTATGTGGTGCTGAGGATCGATCCCAGCACCTACCGGGTGCTAGGCGAGCACTCTACCACCTAGCCAAAACCCCAGCCCCTAGCATCATGTTCTTGTCTAATTACACTCTCTGCTGCAAGTCAAAAAGGTCATTTAAATTGCAATCAAGTTCTTCCAGCCAGATTCCTGACTAGCTTCCCTACCCAATTTTGCATAATTGGAAAATTTACTAAGCTTACCCTAGCCTGTCATCCAGGATATTATGAACATAATTAATAGAGCTAGTTGCAGAATCAGCCCTTGATAAAATGGGCTGAACCCCTGGGCTTCATCCCAGGTGTTATGAAGACCAAACAGCCACCTACATGGGCTCTGAAACCGGTGTGACAGACCTCCATGTCTTTAAGCAGAACAGTAAAATATTAGGTGGTATCTTAAGGAATTGTCTATATGTGGAATATAAAAGATGTGCCCTTTTTTGTGTAAGAAAAACTGTTTACATATTTGACTTTGTTGATCGTAAACTCATTGCTGTAAAAAAAAAAAAATTCCCTGAATTGTACTTTACCTAACTTTCAAACATTCTTTAGTCATCCTTAATCCTTTCTGATATCACTCCAGGCATCCTCCCCATGTTCTCTCTTTGGCTATTGGTTTTATTCGGATTACCACTCTACACACTTYTTTGTAAAACAAAGGTGTCACTGTAAGTAACCATGTCTTCTCTGCATGCCATGTCTTCTGAGAGTCTATCTGATTGCAAAACACTGTTACAATCCTTGCAATTCTTGCTCTCCTATGACATCACCTCTCCTCCTATAGTTCTTCTTATTCAATGACCTTGAAACTGCTCTGCAGGGTTCTCCCCTCCTTGGTAGCAAATAAAATCAAACTTTAATAATTTCCAAATATAAAGCTCCAGGGACACCAGAGGCATTGAATTAATAAGCAATGTAGAATGAATATGAAGAGAATATGAAAAATCACCTGGGTTCGGATATCCCTGGTGTTGATTTTTATCTTTTTTGCTGCTTTAAAATCTGAGTGTTAACTCAGTGGACCCCAGCCCAATCCTGACACTGCCATGCTCCTTCTTAAAGTCTCTATTAGTCAAAAGCCAACAGTAAGAAAATATCCAGGAAAAAAAAAATTTCTAATGCTTAAAACTAAATACTACCCTAAATTGTCAACTTCTTGGCAGCTCTAAAATAGACAGGAACATTTTGTTTAGAAGGACTGAGAAGTTCAGTGACAAAAATAACACTTAATATCTGCTTTCCTTCCTCAAAGGAATAGAATATTTATGCAGAGCATAAATAATAAAAAGGTAGTAGTAAAATAATATTGAGGCAACAATGGCCAAGTCACAAGACAAAAACAGCATGGTCTATGCTCAAAAGCTCGCTTTCACTATATTAAGCATATATAACCACACAGACATTGATGGCAGAAAAGCCTTATTCATGGAGGGGGGGGGGATTAACTCCTAGAAAACATTGACCATTACCTTTCTTTCTTGTTTTTCTAACTGTGAATTGAGCCCAGAGGTGCTTAACCACTGAGCCATATCTCTAGCCTTTTCTATTTTTATTTTGAGAAAGGGTCTTACTAAGTTGCTTAAAACATTTCTAAATTGCTGAGGCTGACTTTGAACTTGCGATCCTCCTGCCTCAGCTTCCTGAGTCGCTGGGATTACAGGYGTGTGCCTCCATGCCTGGCTTAAACATTGTCTTTTAAAAAGTTACTTTCTGGGCTGGAAATATAGCTCAATTATAGTGTGCTTCCCTAGTATGTGCGAGGCCTGAGGTCCCATCCTATCAACAACAACAACAACAACAAAGAGTGAACTTATAATTTACTCCTGACTTTAGTCTTTATCAGTAATGCTATTACCTCTACTGTTGTATATGTAATGTACGTCATGTAAATAAGAAAAAGTAAAAAGCTTTAAAGGAGGAAAATTTTATGAAGAAAGATTTTTATGGTTCTAACCATTTAAAAATGCACTGTCATTTCTAGAGATTGAGTGGGCAAGAGAATTTAGAAGTCTTAATATTCCTCCAATCATGGTGTCTGGGACATACCAGATTCACAGTAACCTCCAATGAGAAAAACCACACACCTGTCAGATACCTGGAGGTTGAGTCAGGAAAATAGGAAGCTGGAGGAAGGTCTCAGTAACTTAGTGAGAGACCCTGCCTCAAAATTAAAAACAAAAATACATAAAAATAAAAGGTTAGGGATGTAGCTCAGTGGCAGAGCACC